CGTGACAGACGCGCATACACCCACACACAGACAACCCCTCATTAATATGCGTTTTCTGCGTTGCACATATGCAAAAAACGCATAAAAATCGGTACAGACACACACACACAGATACGCGTACACAGACACGCGCAGACAAACGCACATAGATACACATAGATAACCTCTCGTCAATATGCGTATAGATGCAAAAAATGCATAAAAAGTGAAGGGGTTTTTGTTCATAATTCTGTCAAATATCCTACCGGTTCGACGGGTCTCAAACGGGGTTCATAGCTAACACAGCCAAACGAGGTCTACATAAAATGACGGTAATAGTTCAAAATAATCGAGGAACTCTGTTACTACAACGAAATAAAGAGAAATTTGCAAAACAAAGAAAAATCACCAAGAACTCACCAAAAACCAAGAAATCACCAAAAAAACATCAAAAATCACCAAGAACAAAGAAAAAACAAAAAAATCACCATAAGGACACTGGCCATTCGTTCCATTTCAGTGACCTGATCCGCCGAGTAATCCTTTGGATCCAGGCTAGCAGGAAATTGCACAACCGGCTGTTCACTATTACTTGGCTCATCCATTTTCCAGGTTTACCTGTAACAAAAAAAAAATCACCAAACCGATAAAACAGGAAATTTTAAATAGCAATCATCGGTCATCGATAGCTGTATCATAGGCGAGTTTGGGAGGGGAGGGGCGGGGGAGGGGCGAGTAGAAGGGGAGGGAGAAGGGGAGGGCGAAGGAGGGAGGGCGGGGGCGGGGATGAAGGATCTTGCAAAAACCCGGATCTAAAGCTAAAATTAAAGTAAACTAAAGCCAAAAGTAATTCCAAACTAAGCGTTATAACTGTATTCCTAGATTTTGCATAGTTTTGCGGTGGGGAGGGGGCGGTGCTCTTCCCCTAACCCCATAGTCCCCCTCCTCCACCCCTCTCCACCCGCCGTCATCCCTCCCCCTCCCCCTCTCCCGGGGATCCGCTCTGGATTCACTTATGCGCTGTATTATGTACCAAGAATACCAAAACCGCCTGGACAATCCCTGTCATTATCTCATATCTCAATGATATCCACTAAGATAATCGCACAAATCAGACAGGGCTGTGAGTATGCCGATCGATCCTGAGCTGCATAACTGAAATAGTGCTAAAGCAGTGCAAAAGTGGTCAAAAAATTCGTCGATGATAGGTTAAAGATCGGAAAAAACGGGGCAAAACGGGATTAGAGACACGAAGAGTTTCTGAATAGGAATGTTTCGGTCCATCAAGTTTGTTCTTGTACAACTGACTAAATACTCGAAAATTTTTGTTGTAAATTTTTTAAAAATCCTGAAGATCGTTTTTTTTTTTTTTTTTTCACAACATTACACTAAAATAAACCAGGCTTTTATTTCTTCGCATATTTAAATCTGCTTATTTTATATACCAAAAATACCAAAACCGTTCGGGCAATTAGTATTGGGTGCCCCCACAGGCGGATCCAGTACGAACTTCTGGGAGGGGGTGGGGTGACCGGGGTGGACAGGAGAATCCCCTCCCATCCTGGAACTATGCAAAAATCATTGGCGACGGGGCCCGTGCGATCATGCATTTTCGCAGTGTTTCGTGTTGTAATGAGATCGCTCGGAAACCTGATAGCTAGGACTTGTGACATACTGGTCCTCGAAGTCCGAGAAGTTAATTGTCTGCGCGGCACTTTGGCAGCGAACATTCCGTAAAAATTTCAGCTTTACAATTTCTCTGACTCTTGAGTTAGCGATTTTCCCGCCAAAAAATTTCATGCGTCCGTACATGAGAACCACATGTATCTGGGAGCTAAATTTGATGTCTTTAACTTTTACGCAGGGCTGGTAAGATTCCCTTAGAATTTTAGCCCCCAACTTTTCCATTTCCCGAGTTAGCCAATTTACCGCTAAAAAATTTCACGTGGCCGTACGTGATAACCACGTATGCCTGGGAGTTGAATCTGATAATTTTTGTAGTATATGTGCTGGGAGCATTCCTTGAAAATTTCAGCCTGCCAGCTTTCCTAGTTCTCGAGTCAGTCATTTTCCCGCCAAAAACTCCCATGTGGCCGTGCATGAAAATTACGCATGCCGAGAGGCTGAATTTGATAAATTTATGCTGTACATGTGCTGGGAACATTCCCTGAAGATTTCAACCCACTAGCTTTCCTGGATTCCAAGTTAGCGATTTCCGCGCCAGGAATCCTCACGAGGCCACACGCGGGTACCAGACACATCTGGAGGCTGAATTTGAAATCTTTGAGTTCCATATGGACGAGGAAAATAACCTCAAAACACCAGCTTTCTAGCTTTTCTGGTTCCTGAGCCAGCGATTTTCCCACCAAAACTTTCACCCCTTCGTACGCGGAGCCAAGACTTGCGTGAAGGCTGGTGCCGCGATTCTGGAGCGGTACTTGGCCGGGGAGCCCACCGGGAGAATTTTGGCGCCGGAGCTTACTTGGGTGCCGAGTTGAAACACCTGGACAGACGCGCACATACACGCACGCACACATACGTACACACACATACGTACACACACACACACACACAGGGGGGGGGGGGTTTTGCATTTGCATATAAGCAAAAACGCACAACTAGGAATAGAGTTGTAACACTGCTACTTAGAGTTACTTTAGGCTTTAGTTTACCTTAGTTTTTGCTTTAAACCTGGGCTCTTGCAGCACTAGTGACTGTTCCGCTGGGGGAGAGAGCTTGTCTATGCCCCCCTTTCACCCTCCTTCCGAGTCTCCCCCGACACCCCCGTTGTAATTCCTAGCCGAAATATGGGGCAAATCTATCAATAATTGAACTAAGAAGATCACCCGGACAATCAGTGAGAGGCGCCGATGTCCTTGAGATACTCAATTTCTTTCTTATCCCCCTAATTCAGCAATTTTCTCCCAATACCTATGCAAATTTTGTAGGTACCATTCGCTAATATGCAAAATCCAGTGGCTACTAAGGTATCATGTCCTGGCTCTCGAGTTTTGCGTGTCCCCCTCCCCCTCCTCCCCGCTGTCGAGAATATATTTTACTATTTAATGAGGTTCAACCGATAATGCTACCTAAGGCTGCTATCTCGATTTTTACTCAAAAATCAAATTTTGATGAACAAATGAGCATAGCACGAATTGATTTAATTATCTACTCGATCCTGACCTCGTTTAGGCACCGAAATTCATAAAAAGAGGGATTTTTCCCCGCCAAACTTAGCAAAATGTCAGATTTCAAAAAAAAACCCCCCCCCCCCAGGACAATCAGTGACCACCACTTTTGTGAATTTCCTTTTTTTGTGAATTTGTGAAAACGTCTGAACTTTTGAAAACTTTTTTTTTTTGAAATCTTGAAAAATTTCGATTTTGAAGTTTTCGAAAAATTCCGAAAAAAGTTAAAAAAAACTTGAAAAATTGAACTTTTGAAAAATTTGAAAACTCTCGAAAAATCCTCCGTTCTATCACCTCAAAAACCTTAGTTCAGTGATAATCAGTAATAACTACAATATAACTTTCCCAGGCAAAAAAAAAAATTTAAAAAAAAGCACTTGAAAAACATGATCGTTAAATTCATGCACAGTAACAATCTATTTGGACAATCCATAAATATCACTTCAAATGATAAAAGATAGCAGAACTTTTATTACCACACTAAATCGATGATAAACGATAATTCAATATCAACGGCACAGCAGGCGTACCCGGTGTGTACGTGTGTGTGTGTGTATGTGTGTGTGTGCGCGCGTGGTTGTGTGTGTGTGGTTGTGTGTGTGTGTGTGTATAAAGTGCAGACTCATTATAGATATGACTCATAATTTCCCTGCATAATACTCATGATTTTCCCGGGCTCATGATTTTTCGTCCCTGTACTCATGATGCAGATTCATGATTTTTTTGGATAATACTCTATAAATATTGCTGGGCCTAGAAGAGAGATATTCCCTAGAAGTACTGATCACACCATCCAGGCGAGCAGTTAAACACAAGCAGCGCCTGAGATGATTTCGATCAATTCACGTGTGATCACTGATTGTCGCGTTCGATTGAATGACATCGTTAATTTATCAATCATTTCGCCTGCAAAAAAAAAAAAAATTTATCAGTTCGTGTAGCACTTCAATTAGAACGTTTTTGCAATGATGCAAAGAAATAAAAAATTTCGTGATATTAGTTGAAAATATAAAAATAAAAATCCGCTTCAATAAAAACAATCAGAGGATGTTTCGGTTCATTAAGTGTTTCCTTCATTCGTCCTAATCGATATTACTTCTTCCTACTCCTATCTTCCCCCCATTATATTCTTCTTTTCTCATTTACTATTCTTTGCTCTAATAATAATAATAACAATGATAATAATAATGATAATAATAATAATAATAATAACAATAATAATAATAATAATAATAATAATAGTGATAATAATGATAATAATGACAATAATAATAATGATAATAATAATAATGATAATAATAATAATGACAATAATAATAGTAATGATAATAATAATAATAATAGCGGCAACAATAGTAATAATAGGAACTAATAGCGTGATAGTTTAAATTTTAAAATCTTTTAACATGTTTGCCCTCACTTTTCTTTTGCTCCAGCTCCAGAATCATACATCTTAAAAAAACCAAAAAAACCCCGAAAAAGTCAGACAAGAATACAAGTCATACCAGCATTTTTGGTTGCAGAATCCATGGCAGTCATACGGGAGCTCTGTTCTGATGCAGCCGATTCTTTTAAGGCATAGTACAGCAATTGGGCTAATGAATAACTCACGTAATCACGTATAACATTATCATCAATTGAATCGTATACCGACATCGTTGGCTGCTTCTAAAATTCAGCAAAAATCCGAAATGTTCGTGATCGAAACGAAACCCCTCCCCTCTCCTCCCCTTCCCCCCCCCCCCCCCCCCCCC